AAGTCTTTTAAAAACTTGCAATAAAAAGCTATTTTGGACACATCAGTTTCTACTGCTACTCCAACTTCCTCCCCTTCACATTCTCTTGTGATTTCTGGTGACATTGGAACGGCCAAGAGTCATATACTCATAATTTTATATTATTTTTAAAGAAGGCCCCTCAGAATTGCAAATGCTTCTGACCTCATAAAGCCTGGCTCTTTCCATAATCACAGAAAACAAAATCATAATTACTTTAATCTCTCAGAATAAAATCCAAACTCGTTATGAACCAGCCCTTGCCTGCTCTTCCAGTGTTAGCAAATGTCTCTCTCTCCCATTCAATCCAGATTTTAGGTTTCGTTGTTGTTGTTTGTTTATTTATTTTTTTATTATGAATATTCATGAGATACAAAGCTGATTGTCACCCCTTGTGCCCATGATGTGAGAGCCAGATTCATACTGGCAGCATACCCATTAGAACAAATTGCATTTGTACCCTGTGTCCCCCACCCAATTATCTCCAACCTCCCTCCACCGCCCCCTTCCCCCCAACACACTACTTTGTAGCCCGAGGACAGATTCTGGTTTTATGATCTTTCAATTTTTAAAATAGGTCAAGTTCTTTGCTCACTCAGCTGTTGCACATGCCCTTCTCACCACAGTGAATGGTTTTCAACCTTTCTTTGCATAGATGCTTTCCTATAGAAAATAGAGTTTCAGTTCCCCCTTTTATCTATCTAAATCACTGGATATTTTTGTTTGTTTCTTTGAACACAGTGATATATAAAATTTATTTTAAAATTTTTTCTCTTTTGGCTTATTACTTGGCTTAATTCATTGTGTTTTATTTTTTTTGTTTTCACTCTTCTATACTGGAATGAAAGAGCTGGAAAGGCAGACCCTTGTTTGTGTTTGTTGCCATTGTCTCCTATTCTAAACAGGTGTTTGTTGACATCACGAATGACTCATGTAACTGGGCTCTAGACGCTGCTCATCAAGTCTACCTTGCATCCCTCTCCTGCCACATTTTTAAACCTTTTTTCCTCTCTCTAGTGCCCCTCGTCCTCCTTCGCCAGTGCCCCCTTCAATCTCAGATGATCTCATCTCATACATCAGAGCACAACAGAGCGCTTCAGCTCCTGCATCTTTCCAGCACTAGATTCACACGCACATTTTCCTTCCGTCCTCCTGTTACGAAGCTGTAAGTAGCACTGTTGCCACCAAAGCCTAATTCCTCCACAGGACCTCTGATTCCCTTGCGCTCCCATTTTCTCAGGGAACTGTGTATGTCACGTATTCAATCTCTGCTGCTGTCTCTCTCTGCTAAACCCTCTACAGCATTCAGTAATCTCATATCTCCTCTCTTTGGTGCAGAATTTCCTCTAGCAGTATTCTGAACTTCCTACTTGCTGCACAACCAAACTTCTTGGAAGAGAGTTATCACCACAGACTGTGCTAAATTTCTTGCAAATCACTTTTGCTTAGCAGATTCCATTTAGGTTCTGCCCCTCCTACTCCATTAAAAACCATTTCTCTTACACTTATTGGCCTCCCTGCTGCCAAATCCATTACATTTTGTATAGCCTTCTAACTGGACATATCAACTGAATTAGAAATATTCATTACTCCAACTGTCATAATAATGTAATTAGATTACAATTCTCTTGACTGTATTATATGATAGAAACGATGGCAAGAAATATACATGAACTATTTAGTCTATTACCAAAACAATCCATTGAAATATTAGAGCAAATGTAAACACTAAAACATATTATAGATAAGAGTCAGCAAAGCTTCCAGTAGGCTTGGCTTGTTGCCCACAGTACATGCTTAACACGTGGTGAAATTGGAATTAGAATCCACACAGAATGTCTCCATAAGCTTCATTATTAATCAGTCTGTTATACTTCCTGTTCCTTTAATCGTTTCCTTCTTTATACATCCATGACAACTTTCATTCCTAGATTTTTTCTCCTGTTTCTCTGCGTCCTCCATTTTTCCATCTACTTTGATATCTATTCTTCTCCTGTCTAACATCTAAAGGTTGGGATGTTCAGGGCTCAGTCTCAAGTGCTCTTCTCCTTTCAGTCTGTATTCCTTTCCAATTTAATGTTATCTTTTATATGGTGATAATCCCAAATGCACAGCTCCTTGCTAGACCTATATCCAAGTCTATATACCCAACTCTCCAGTGTACTTGTCCAATTCTGATGGGCAGCTCAAGTATAATGTGTCCAAGTCTAGAGTTGTGTTGTTCCTACCAAAGTGTCCTCTATCTTGTCAGCACCACCTAACAAAATGGCATTTTTATTTACCTACATGCTTATGAGAAAACAATGAAAAAGCGGCATTGCCATTTACCTACATGCTCATGACAAAAAAATGAAAAACAATCACGTGATTCCCTTGATCTCACTCCCTCTCACACCCAACATTTAGTACCATCGCCTGTACTTGGCACCACCAAAATGAAGGCCAATTCCGTCATCTGCTCTGCATCTCCTCAACTATCACATCTCTCAATTCCCACCTTTCTCACTAGACATAGAACTTTCAAATACACAGACCAAATTATATGATTTATTTTCCTAAAACTATTTTATGTCTTTTTTATCAAGCATAGAGTAAATCCAAATGCTAACATATCCTGAGTTAACCTGAATAATCTTTCCTTTGCCTCCTACCTAGCCTCAGCTAATAAAATTCTCCCACAACTTGACTGGAATCTGCTCACTCTGATATTTCCCAAAAAGCGTTTTGTTTTCAATGATTTGCACATACTGTTCCTTTTGCCTGGAGCTCTCTACACACCTTCATTTTCTCACAGATTCAAACCCTCTTCTAACGCTGGAAAATGGACTGATTGGCAAACATAAAAGAGATTAGGTAGCAGTTCACGGAACTTGTTAAAGTTAAATAAAGAGCTACTCTCAGAAACTGCAGAAATTAACACTCAAGGTAGAAGTTGTAAAGCAGAAACTGAACAGCAAAATAGCTGAGGAAGTCATGGCAAACAATAATTTTGGGAATGGCCGCCCAGCTTTAAACAGCTAGAAAGCTTGCATTTAGAAAAAAACCATTCTCTATTTCTATATTTGATGTTGAACATGTTTCTAAAAGGGAAACATATAAAGAAAAGATAAACATATGTTCAATAACATTTTATAAAGACTCAAAAAATATGACAATAGAAAAATAGTGGGTTCTTAAAAATAAAAACTAAGATAATCTGAATCATCCAAGTTTTTATGTGAAAGAAGTTATGAGTTCTTAAAAATATTACATCAAGACCCATTATGAAAATTATTTAACAAAGTAGGATTTAAAACACTGATAATCATATCTAAAATTTATTAGAAATTACTTGTCTAATGGACCCAGAATGCTATAGCATTCCAGAACACTGAGAGAATTTTTTTTGTTTGTTTGTGTTTTCCTGGGACTTGTTTTAAGTCTTGCCTGGTTTGGCTCTCTTAGGCAACCACAAAACTCACGTAGCCAATTGGAGGGTCTGAGCTCAGGTGATGATCGTAGAGAATCTGTCAAAACAGCAGTCACAACTTTGGCTCCAAGAATTAGAAATGTCATCATAATTGTGTGCTTCAAACCATATGAATGTTTGGAGTTCAAAGAAGATGAGAAGAGCAACACACTGATTTATCTCATAAGGCCAAAACGATGATTCCTCAAATTATTGTAACTTAATTTGAAAAAATAAAAGTAGAATTCTGAAAGTTACTAGGTCTCTTCTGAGAACTTTTCCCAAAACTCAATCATGGATAAAGAAAAAATCAAAAGAGAAGCATTAAATATTTTGACTGAAATGATAATAAAAACATATTAAATAAAACTTCATGAGATGACAGTAAAGTAGTGCTGAGAACGAAATTTATCATTAAATGCTGTAAAATAAAAGAATAAAGACTGAAAACCAATAATTGTTTTAATTATAAAAAATTACAAATATAATCACACTCAACATAAGTATAAATTTTGAAAAACTTAAAATATAAGCAGAAATCAAATAGAAAACTAACAGTGGAGAAAACACAGGTAAGAGATGGCTTTGTAAAAAAAGAAAATTAATAAACTTGATAAATCCTATGCAAGAATAATCTGGAAAATCAAAGAATTCCAGCAACAAACAGTAAAAAAAATGAACTGAAGAGATGAAAATATCCTTTTTTAGGCACTGGAAAACAGGCAGCACCTGACTGTAATTCCAGAGAAAAAGAGACAAAAGAGTGGAGCTTTATCATCTAAATGACTTTATGCTTGGAGGAATATTCCAGATAAGGTACAGAGAGGAACATTCCAAGTAGAAAATGACACTCTTGCTGAATAGAAGACACAAAAACCAGTGTTCTCAAAGAGGTTGGGATCACTAGAATTTGCAGGATAGAGAGCCAGGAAAGGAAAAACTACAGAGTGAGTTAAAGAAACCATGGCAATCTCCTAGATTCTCTTGCTGAATACTGACACACTGTAAAGAAGGGGAAATAGANTGTTAAAGTTAAATAAAGAGCTACTCTCAGAAACTGCAGAAATTAACACTCAAGGTAGAAGGTGTAAAGCAGAAACTGAACAGCAAAATAGCTGAGGAAGTCATGGCAAACAATAATTTTGGGAATGGCCGCCCAGCTTTAAACAGCTAGAAAGCTTGCATTTAGGATAACAGCAAACATAGCAAACAATAATTTTGGGAATGGCCGCCCAGCTTTAAACAGCTAGAAAGCTTGCATTTAGAATAACAGCAACAATTATACTTTAATCACAAACCTGTGATGTATCTGGCCCATAAAAAAAACGTTAATTTAATGCACTATTTTAAAAACATATTATCATTGGGTTTCTAAAACCCTCTCCTCCCAGTTTACATTAAATCATAGGGAGACCCATTGATTTTCATCATTGTTTCTTTAAAATGTCTGTAGATAATTTAGATTTTTGAGCAGAACACAAACAGATTTATTTTAATCCTAATAAAAATAATCCTGAAGAAAAATATTACTTACCATCACATGCGGGTGTATCAGACCAACCATTGTAACCACATACTATGGAACCTTTGATATCATTGTGTCTGTTTTCATATCCATCATGGCATTCATAGTCCAGTGTGTCATTGACCTTAAACCATGTGCTGTTACTTTTGGTTCTGGCATTCTTAAATAGTGGAGTTTCACAAGATTCTAATGCATAATAAAATTGAAGATGTCATTTCTAATGGAATGAAATCTAACCGAATAATTCCCATTACAAGAACAAAAAGGTTTATCAAAAAGTATGTGCTAATAAATAAGTACAATATGAAAATAATCTGATATCAGTGATAAATCATTCTCTTGAAGTAGGTACTAAGAATAAAAATATATATATGTTTTTTAAACAATATTTTTAAAAATCACTTAAACCCCCTGAAAAATTTATTTTAAGAGCATTTTTATCAATTCAATTATACTTATGCATTTATGACAATGCTAGTAAAAAACAGGNACAGAATGCTTTAAAGTAGAAAAAATTTGAATAAAAAAAGGACTGATAGTCTAGCAATTAATCTTGAAAGTAAAATGATTTGTACTTTTTTCTCAAAGTTTTTATTTATGTTTTTAAATGAAACCACATCAGCCCACTCAAAGAAGAATAAAGTTAAAGTAAACTTGTGTACATCAACAGGATAATGAATACTAACACAATAAATTACTTACTAATACATTTCGGTTGAGCTGACCACCCACTTTGCAGACATGTAACTGATCCTGATATTTCACCATCTGTTGTTACATATCCTGATTTACACGTATATTGTGTTTGTTTATTTATGTCATATACAACACCAGGTTCAGAAAAAAAACCATTCTCTATTTCTATATTTGATGTTGAACATGTTTCTAAAAGGGAAACATATAAAGAAAAGATAAACATATGTTCAATAACATTTTATAAAGACTCAAAAAATATGACAATAGAAAAATAGTGGGTTCTTAAAAATAAAAACTAAGATAATCTGAATCATCCAAGTTTTAATGTGAAAGAAGTTATGAGTTCTTAAAAATATTACATCAAGACCCATTATGAAAATTATTTAACAAACTAGGATTTAAAACACTCATAATTATATCTAAATTTATTAGAAATTGCTTGTCTAATGGACCCAGAATGCTAAAGCATTCCAGAACACTGAGAGAATTTTTTTTGTTTGTTTGTGTTTTCCTGGGACTTGTTTTAAGTCTTGCCTGGTTTGGCTCTCTTAGGCAACCACAAAACTCACGTAGCCAATTGGAGGGTCTGAGCTCAGGTGATGATCTTAAACAATCTGTCAAAACAGCAGTCACAACTTTGGCTCCAAGAATTAGAAATGTCATCATAATTGTGTGCTTCAAACCATATGAATGTTTGGAGTTCAAAGAAGATGAGAAGAGCAACACACTGATTTATCTCATAAGGCCAAAACGATGATTCCTCAAATTATTGTAACTTAATTTGAAAAAATAAACGTAGAATTCTGAAAGTTACTAGGTCTCTTCTGAGAACTTTTCCCAAAACTCAGTCATGGATAAAGAAAAAATCAAAAGAGAAGCGTTCAATATTTTGACTGAAATGATACTAAAAACATACTACATAAAACTTCATGAGATGACAGTAAAGTAGTGCAGAGAATGAAATTTATCATTAAATGCTGTAAAATAAAAGAATAAAGACTGAAAACCAATAATTGTTTTAATTATAAAAAATTACAAATATAATCACACTCAACATAAGTATAAATTTTGAAAAACTTAAAATATAAGCAGAAATCAAACAGAAAACAAACAGTGGAGAAAATTAACAGAGGTAAGAAATGGCTTTGTAAAAAAAGAAAATTAATAAGCTTGATAAATATTATGCAAGAATAATCTGGAAAATCAAAGAATTCCAGCAACAAACAGGAAGGAAAAACTACAGAGTGAGTTAAAGAAACCTTCATGGCAATCTCCTAGATTCTCTTGCTGAATACTGACACACTGTAAAGAAGGGGAAATAGAGGAACACGCCATGAGAATGGGTCATGGATAACTCCAGAGGAAGAACAACTACCAGAGAAAAGTAAGGTGAAAGAATCCCACAGAACACACAACCCTGGAGGAAATTCACATTTGATTATTACGAGTGGAAAGACTCTTGAGCATCCAGATCATTTCGTAGAGACACCAGAAGAAGGCTTATTAGTATTCTAAATAAACTCGTTATAGAGTAAAGGCTTATAAAACCCTGCTTAATGAAGTTTGAAATCAAGACTTGAAAGGATCACGTTGATCCATAACAGACTTAGCCTTCTAAAACAAAATTTAAAACAGGTAATTCTCGAGTTTTCCAACCCTAAACACTGAGAGATACAAACTATAAAAGCTCCAAGGAAGGCCTTTTCTCTTAACCAAAAGACAAGGAGAAGGATGAAAAAAGAAAAAAAAAAGTTTTGGCAAAACTTCTTCATTCCCCAAAAACCAGAATATCTTTTCGGCAATATCTACTCTACTTCAGCCAAATATCAATGGATAAATCACATCAATATTTGGAGAATGACACTGAAACAGTACGAAATACACCTGTACCGGAAAAGAATATGGTTCTACTTTAAAATCCTTAGCCTCTATTCAAGACATTAGAAAAAGTAGAAAAAATTAAATTCAAAGTAAGCAGAAAAAAGAAAAGCACAATAATGACAAGATCTGAAATAACAAAGTAAAAAGTAAATGTATATAAAACAAGGAAACCAAAGCCTTGTTGTTTTAGAAGATCTCTAAAACTGATAAACCTTTAGACAGGCTTATCAGGGAAAAATAGAGATAACACAAATTGGTCAAATAAGCAAAAACAGAAATGGCATCACTGCAGTTTTTACATATACTAAAAAAAAAGGAAATATTATGAAAATGGCATGCCAATAAATTCAACTACTCAAATAAATAAACAAATGTATTTAAGTCACAAATCACCATAGCTCACTTAAGACGAAATAGATAACATGAATAAATTATATGTATTAAACAAATTAAATTTGTAGTTTAAACATGAAAAAACAGGAAAGCGATGCTTAAAAAGAGTGATTTTATGTTCATACAAAAAACTAGACATAAATATTCTTTAGCAGCATGCCCCACTAATGCCCCAAACAACCCAAATGTCCTTCAATGAGTGACTGGATTAACAGTAGACTGTGGTACACAATGCAATGAAATAATACTCAGCAGTAAAAAGAAAGAGCTATTGATACACTGAATTATGAATTATGAACATGAATTATGCTAATTGAAAGCCAGACTCAACAGATTACATCCTGTTTTCATATACATAACTCTGGAAAAAGCCACACTACAGCTATCAGGAGCAGATCAGTGATTCCTAGGGGACAGGAGTAGGGAAAACATGGTGTGAGTACAAAGAAAGGGCATGAGGGAAGTTCTGCAGTGAGAGAATTGCTACTTATCTAGCTGGCGGCAGTGCTTATATGACCAATGTATTTTTCGAATATCATAGATCTCTACAACAAAAAGCAAAAATAATTTTGCTGTATGTAAATTTTTTAAAACTGCTACCAGTTTTTAAAACTGGAGGATTATCAAATATTTTCATCTTTCATTGCAGATGTTAGATATAGGTGTATTATTACCCTCGATTCTTTATTCAATAGCCAAACATGGCTGTGAAAAATACTGATGGACCTTGGGGGTTAACTGTATACTATAGCAGACTGAAAAACTAGTACGTATATTCAGAAGCATCAGTCAAAATGGCATTAACCATTCAAGTTTCAGAACAAGCTAAAGGAAACTGGTATTCTGTGATCCATTTGGCTGATGTTTTCTGTTCAGTGGCTACTTCAACAGAAATCACAGCCAATTTCCATTCAGGACACACTCCAATATATACCTTCTGCACTCACTCAAGTATATTTGAATTCTTCTGTTTATTGTCCCAACATGGTTATTGGAGATTTAGATTTGATTTAATTAAAAAGCACCATGATTCACAAATGATTGAATATATATTGATGATATAATGTTGATATCTTAATCTGAAAATTGTTAAGACTTTTTCATTATATGACAACCATAGAGTAGCTAAAGAACCTGACTAAAGTACAGAGCCCAGCATGAACAGAAAAATTCTTATGAATAACTTGAGCAAGACAGACTAAAGACTTCTCTAAAAGAAAGAAAGAAGAGGGGGAGTGGAGATAGGAAAGGAGCTAGAGAGGGAAGGAAGGAGGAAATGGAAGGAAGGAAGGAAAGAAAGAAAGAAACAGGGAGGGAGGGAGAAAAAAAGAAAGGAAGGAATGAATGATGAGAGAACAGAAGAAAGATGGAAGGAAGGAAGGAAGGAAACAACTCTTCAACTCAAGTATATTTGAATTCTTCTGTTTATTGTCCCAACATGGTTATTGGAGATTTAGATTTGATTTAATTAAAAAGCACCATGATTCACAAATGATTGAATATATATTGATGATATAATGTTGATATCTTAATCTGAAAATTCTTAAGACTTTTTAATTATATGACAAGCATAGAGTAGCTAAAGAACCTGACTAAAGTACAGAGCCCAGCATGAACAGAAAAATTCTTATGAATAACTTGAGCAAGACAGACTAAAGACTTCTCTAAAAGAAAGAAAGGAGAGTGGGAGTGGAGATAGGAAAGGAGCTAGAGAGGGAAGGAAGGAGGAAATGGAAGGAAGGAAGGAAGGAAGGAAGGAAGGAAGGAAGGAAGGAAGGAAGGAAGGAAGGAAGGAAGAAAGGAAGGAAATAACTCTTCCAACTCCAAAACGAAAGCAAGAGATACAAAATTTGACAGTGTTGCTTTTATCAGGAGAAACTGTCTATCAAATCAAGGGATATGATTAGCTTCTATTAGAAAAATTGACCAGAAAAAAATAAAAATAATAAGATCATCAGACACTGAATGTAGCAATGATCCACCTAGCAAGAAATCCACTAAAATCTGTTGCTCCCAGTTCCAGATGATCTTGACCATGATGTATATTTATTCTGAATATGAGTTTTTACATCTGGTAACCAAAGAAAATTTCTTTACACTATTTGAAGATTGCGGCCTTAAATTACTTCTGTTTCTATATCATCTGATGAAGGGACCCCTTTTATTGCAGGTGCAGTGCAACAATGGGCTAACATCACAACAATAAACTCATTATATGATACCCAAAATGTAGTGAGCTGATCAAAAATTAGAATGTGTGAATTAAATACCTACTTAGTAATTTTGTTGGGTGGGATATGAATGGTTTTCAGAATGGTTGAAAGAATGGTTTGCGTGAGTAAATGTGTGTTAAAACTTGGAAATAAAGGGACACATATTTGGGATATTGTGGAGAAGGTAGGGAAGAGGAGTAAGGAAATTAGATAAGTGTATTCACTACTTCTAATTTTTTTTCTTTTACTCTGCCCGATCCTGTAGAACAGGAACCTGAATTACCTTTGGAAGTACAGAGGAAGGATCAATGGCTAAACACGACACCACTGCAATACTTCTAAATACTAAGGGCTTTAGGAGATAGTTTTTTCTCCATACCTATGTAAGCTGGGATTAATCATTTCTGTCTCTTTTTAACAAAGTTAATAAAAGAGTTTCATAACCTTGTATCCATCCACTTCTACTCCATGCTACTAAAAATGGATAAAAGGTGAAACATGCATATATCCAGGCTCATATTGCCACCGTGTCTGTGGCTCCATTCTCTGGCTAACCCTGATGGTCTTATCCGTGGTTGTGTGGGTGACGGAAGGATATGGGTTATAATTACTGCTGAATGAAAAAAAAAGGGGACCACTCAACCACAAAGGAAGACAATGGAAAAAGGAAAAATGGATCTATAAAAAAAACAGAAAAAAGAA